GTGGACGGTCACCCTGTATTGGGAGGGGGTGACCCCTGTGCTTTGGGGGGTACCTGCTTTGGGGGGCAATTCCCTCCTCCCAAAGCCATTAATTTTGGGGGCTACTCCCTATGCCTTTAATTGCCTCCCCCCAACGCTGCTCAGAGGGGACCGGCTTGTGACCCAGGGGTCCCCAAATGGCGGCTCCCCTGTGTGTGTGTGGGGGGATCCTTGGTGCTGCGGTGGGTCCTTGTCCGCCCTTGACCAGTAGGACCTCCTGGGTTTGTCTTTTTATGAGTCCTGGGCCTTGGGATGTGGGATCCTGTGTGTGGTGCCCATGTCCAGGGGCAGGAGACCCTGCCGGGACCTGGCCGCCTTCTCCCTGCCACCCCTCGCTGTGTGATCCCCCGGGGAGGGGACGCTGGTTTTTAACAGTTTTCTAGGGTAACAGGGGGCTCTTCTGTCCCCCACTTTCCTCCCCGGCAGATGGCCGCCAGGAGCGGGTCATGTTCGACAAGATCACATCGCGCATCCAGAAGCTCTGCTACGGCCTCAACGCCGACTTCGTGGACCCCGTGAGCCTCTCATCTCTCAACCCTTGTCCTCTTCTCTGCCCCTTGTGGGGCTCTTTGCTGAAAGTCGAGAGAACCGGGTCCTTTCTCATGTTTTTTCCCCCTTATTTTGAGCAAAGGAAAAGCCTTTTATGGCACTAACACAGAAACTGTGTGTGTGAGTTTGGGTGCTTATTGCTCCCACCTCTGCAAGCTGCTTCTTGGAGCCCCATGGATCCAGCCCCATGGATCCGTAGCAGCTTGTGAGCTTTTTATGCAGATATGTGGAGCTAATCTGTTCATTTGGAGCTGCCAACTTCATAGAATCACAGAATATTCAAGGTTGGAAGGGATCTCTAGAGAGCATCTAGTCCAACCTTCCTGCTCCAGCAGGGACACCCAGAGCATGTGGCACAGGGTGGCATCCAGGTGGGTTTTGAAGACCTCCAGAGAAGGAGACTCCACAACCTCCCTGGGCAGCCTGTTCCACTGCTCTGTCACAACTTGGGCTCTTCAGAGCTGCAGGATCCGTTTCCTTCAATGACAAGCCGAGTTCCGAGTCTTGTCTGGCTTTTAGGGTCAACTGCATTTGGAGTTATGAAACTTCCAAGCAAGTCCAGTTTGCACGTGACTTTTATTCAGCACATTTTGCTGCTCCCTCGTTTTAGGCTTCAGGAAACGTCTGTCTGCAGAGAGAACATTCTTGGTCATTGACTGTTTCTGTTTTCTTTGCTCTTTCCCTGCTCTCTCTCAATATCACTTGGTTTAAAACTTAAGGAGACAGTGCTTTATCAAGAGAGTTTTTTATTTAGTTTTTCAGTTTGAACAGAATTAAAGATACAACTTATACTAAAACCTATCTCTTACATGGCTCAAACACCATTTTTTTTTAGCTGATGTGCCAAATTCTGCTTTTTCAGGCCCAGATCACCATGAAAGTGATTCAGGGGCTCTACAGTGGAGTCACGACAGTGGAGCTGGATACTCTGGCTGCCGAAACGGCTGCGACTCTGACCACCAAACACCCCGACTACGCTATCCTGGCAGCGAGGATTGCAGTGTCCAACCTGCACAAGGAAACAAAGAAGGTGTTCAGTGGTAGGTCTGTGCGGGGCACTTTTGCATAGCAGTTAATCCGAAAAGGAACAGAAATTCTGGAGGATATAAATATGTAGGAAGTTAAGTACTTCAGCTAAAAATGCCGTGAAAATGAAAATAATCTATTTTATGCATGTTACAAAGAAAATCAACTTGTCCGTTTTGTGAAAATCAGCTTTTCTTTTTTTTTTTTTGGCAGAAAAAAAAAGCCTAAATAAAAGGGACTGAAGAATGCAGTTGATTGCAATTAGGAGGCTCCCACTTTAAAAAATAGTCCCTAAACCCCTAAAAAGAGAATCTTAAATTGATCCTCTTACTGCATCTGAAGTGGGGTTGCCTGCTGCACTTTGTGTTGGTTAGACTCAAATTCCATAGCTGTCACAGAATCATGAATTTTATTAAAAATGACTCTAAAAAATGACTATTAAAAAGTACTTTTTTTTAAGGTCAGTGGAGACCTTAAATAACACGGAGCAGGTATTGGAGATACCAATGTCCAAAAGACATTGGAGAGCTGTGAAGGTGAGGGGTTGTATGCACAGAGGGCTGGAGGTGGGTTATTTTGGAGAATGGGGAGTCCTCTGAGTTAAATCCTTGCAAATGAATGACAAAATACATTTAAGTACTTCTGTGAGTGACCGAATTCCTCTTTCTTTTAAACACGTTTCCGTTGTAGATGTGATGGATGATCTCTACAACTACGTAAACCCTCACAACGGGAAGCACTCGCCAATGATCTCCAAAGAAACCCTCGACATAGTGTTGGCCAACAAAGACGTATGTAATGTTTCTCCACTTCTGAAGAGTCAGTGAACCTGCTTAGACAACGAATTTTTCTTATTTCTATGTCAGCCGTGTCTCCTTTTATCCCCAAAAGGACAATATCAAAACCGGTGGAGATAACTGCCCTCTTCTGGAGAGTAAAAGAGGTGGTGTCCGAACTTTCTTCCTTTAAGGATATTCCTCTAGCAAGATCTGCTTTCTTAGATGTCCTCATTATCTGTGCAGCTACTTAATTTTGAAGAAAAAGTGCCTTTTGATGTGGCAACCTCTTTTATGTGCCCAGAAGGGAGCTTTGGTGTCTCATTTCAAGTTGTTGCAGTTGGCGTTCTTATCAAGAAGGCACAACCACTTCTTGATTCTGTTTCTTAGTATCTAGAGACTTCAGTAAAAGGCAGCCCATGATTGTGCGATTGTACTTGGAAAAAACGTGTTAAAAGCAATGGGTTGTTTCAGATTAAATGTTCTTCCATGATATCTGTTTCACTAGGCCAGAGGAGGTGAACAAGTAAAGCATTTTATGCTGGAAATGTGAGCCACAAATAATCGGAATTTAAATGGAAAACTCTCTCTGTGTTATTTCCTTCCAGCGCCTGAATTCTGCCATTATCTATGACAGAGACTTCTCCTACAACTATTTTGGCTTTAAGGTAAAAAAAAGCATGTTTTACATGATATGAAAACTGCTGTTTTGCTGCTGAGTGCTGAGGGGCTGGGAGTCTTTGCAGAATCATTACATTTGGCAAGGAGGGCGTTGGGGTAGATGGGATGTTAATGGGATTGCTAAAATCCAAATGACTATTAAAACACCCTGTCTCTTTTTAAAGACTCTGGAGCGCTCTTACTTGCTGAAAATCAACTCAAAAGGTAAGAAGTGTCTGCATTAGCTCTGTGTGTTGGTTAAAAGCTGAGACCTGGCTCAGAAGAGGGTGTGAGGAGGCAGATGGGCCACCTCATAGCTTTGGGCAAAGCATTTTAGCCCAAGGATTGTCCACCACTTCAAAAAACAGCAGCCAAGCTACCTGTATGCTGAGCACATATATACGTGTACATATATATATGTACATATAGATGTGCCAGGTAATGGCAGCGTGAAATAAATAATTGTACCTCACCTTTGTGTTCCAGGGACCCGAAAGGTTTGAGAGCTGGTCTAGGATGTAGAAGGTGCAGAGAACTTGTTCCATGGCACTAAACACTTCTTAAGAGGTTTAGGTTGAAATGACTCCTATGTTATTGCAGGCCCTTAGCCTGAGATTCCTGGGACAGCAGAAGTTAGAGGTTTAATTATAATTTAGTAAGCGGAGTAATTTAGTAAGTGGAGAGTGTATAGATGCTGGACTGGGTATTGGATTGGGTTTTAGCTTTGGTATTGGATTGGGTTTTAGCTTTTCATACAGTTCCCCTTCACTCGTGTGAGCAGTCACGTTAAGAAAGGGTGGCAGTGAGAGCAGCCGAACGTTGCAGCAGGTTACCCCAAGGATAACGTGGTCCTCGTTCTTGGAGGTTTTCAAGATCCAGTTGGGTAAAACCTTGAGCAGGCTGGTGTGACTCTCTCAGCTGACCCTGTTCTGAGCAGGAGTTTGGAGCAGAAGCTTCTCAAGGTTCCTTCCAACCTGAATCCAACCTGAATTATCAGTGATTCTTTGAAAGCAGCCACTCCAAAGTGGCCCATTCAACGCACAGCACCCGTAGCTTGGTGCAACTATCACACTGATGTGCTTCCCCCCCACACCCTTTTTTTCCCTATTTCTAGTTGCTGAACGGCCCCAACATATGCTGATGCGGGTGGCCGTGGGAATCCACAAAAACGACATCGAGGCTGCGATTGAGACTTACAACCTGCTGTCTGAAAGGTGGTTTACCCACGCCTCGCCCACGCTCTTCAACGCGGGCACCAACCGCCCACAGCTCTCCAGGTACCTCTGGCTTTCAGCTTCACTCCATGCACAACTCGGAGAGGATTAAGTTTTGGAGACAGAGCGGCTCGTTAGAGGAGACCCCGTCACAGCTGCATTGCTTTGATTCTGTTATGAAGTTTTGAGAACTGTTTGCTGTCAAATTTAATACCTAATGTAGTCTATGGGAGGAGAAAAGTCTGTAAGTTTCTATAAACAGTGGAAACTTTTACACTCTTATTTATAAGTTACTATATAAGTAACTTATAAGTTACAAAGTCTTTTACAGGTTGCAAACAGATCGTGATTAATTAGTCTCTGAAATACAGTAAAAGTAGCAAGCATGAGTGCTTTGAAGTAGATCAGACTTTGAAAATGATTGGCTTTGGTAACAAAGGTGTCAGTAATACAACTCTATTCCATGATGTTTTTTAAACTGTTATTTATTCTGCTTGACAAACCTACGGTTTCTGTTTTATTTATAAAACATTATATTATTATATTTATATTATATTATAAAATTATACTATAAAATTATAATATATTTATAAAAACCGAAAGATTTAGTAATTAGCCTGGCTTTCTGCAGGCCTGGCAGTGCATTGTTTCGTGGGTGTTTTAATTGCTGCTTTAATTGCTGTTTGAAAGCTGCTTGTTTCCCGTAGCTGCTTCCTGCTGTGCATGAAAGACGACAGCATCGAGGGCATCTACGACACCCTCAAGCAGTGCGCGCTCATCTCCAAGTCTGCCGGAGGGATCGGGCTTGCCGTGAGCTGTATCCGAGCCACAGGCAGCTACATTGCAGGGGTGAGTGTGACGATGATGCCCCAGCAGGCACGAGCCGCCTGCTTTGGGTAAAATCTCTGCTGCTTTGGCCCAATTAACGCCGCTTCTGCCAAGTCTAACGCAGCAGTTGGTCGAGCTCAGTCATGCTTCCCTTTTGAGCGTGGCCTAGGCTGAAAGGGCTGGTTCTCCTTGGTGTTTTGGCTTCCTCGTGGAAGACCTTTGAAAAAGAGGGTCAGATCTCACTCCATTGCTTGATCAGACAGTTCCAGCTTCTTCACAAGTTAGCAGCCCAGGAGCGTGCTTATGGACTCATTTATTAGCTGTTTTCATGCAGTTTTTGTACATATCCAGCTACATAAGATCTGTAGCGTTCATTTTGTTTTTTTTTTTTTGTTTTCTTCTTTTTTGGTCACCCTGTAAACCTCCAGATTAGTTAATGTGGAGGAAAATAGTTCAGGTGATGCATCTCATTAAGTTATGGGGCTGCAGCTGCTACCTGTGCCTCTGAGCTTCAAAAAACAACCCCTTCTTTCCCAATCACACTACCAAATAACTGATTGGGGTGGTCAACTGCTGGCTCTCCACCTGGGAGATCTGACTGGCAAGAGAAATATGGGAAATGTTGGCCCATCTCCTCAGGCTACTGTATTTTCGTGCTGATGGATGTTTTCCTCTGTGCCCCTGCAGACAAATGGCAATTCCAACGGCCTTGTTCCAATGCTGAGAGTCTACAACAACACCGCCCGCTACGTGGACCAAGGTGGCAACAAGGTACCCGCTTCCCATAACAGAGGGGTGGTGAGTGGCACCTCTGTGGGGAAGGGATTCTTCTGCCAGTGTGGAAAACTGAGCCCGTGGCACCAGAGAGAAGGTGGGGTGGTTACAGGTAGCACAGAATAAAAATGGTACCGTTCACCTCTTCCTGGTGTCCCCTTTCACGGTGAATTTTATCCTGCTGTTACATTTTTTTTGGTAGATGTCTGCTGTAGGAAATAGATGTGCAGGACTGACCTCTTGTATCAGTCGCTCCTTGAGCTCCCTACACTGAATTAAGATATAAGATTGTGTTAAGAGTTTCTTTTCATGTACCCTCTGTACTATATATCCTCAAGCAGTGCAAAATCAAAGATTGATAAAGCTGCTGTTGACACAGGGGAAATAGATTTTTGGAAACTGATTTTTTTTTTTGGAAATTGCTTTTTTCTTTACTGAGATTTTGGAGTTAGCAGCATGGCAAGGCTTAGCTGCAGTGAGTGAGTGCAGCAGGAACTCAGCGCTCTGAAATTGCCTTTATGTGACTATAAAATTAGGTCCCAGATAGTTTAGGATATTGTGTGCGCTCAGCAGACAGTGTGAGAGACCGTGGTTTCTTTTGAGGGTGGTTTGTTCTCATCCTGACTGTATTTTGTGCATCAGAGACCTGGGGCCTTTGCCATCTACCTGGAGCCGTGGCATTTGGACATTTTTGAATTTCTTGACTTAAAGAAGAACACTGGGAAGGAAGAGCAGCGAGCCAGGGACCTCTTCTTCGCCCTCTGGATCCCCGATCTCTTCATGAAGCGGGTTGAAACCAACCAGGTAAGAGGCTTGATCGGTGCAAGGTAGGCCTGTTAATGGAGAAAGAGCCCGTCAGCCCTGGGATAGAGTTCAAGAAGTGTTGCAGAGCTGTCCTCCTAGCAGCAAAGGAGCTTCCTGAAAGATCTACCCTGCCTGGATTGAGAACCAGGGTGCACAAGTGGAGAATGGAGCTGGAGAACCCCAGTAGGGTGCTTTGCTTCAGTGCTTAGTTCTACAGTCCATGGCTTAGGGACTCACATGGTTGTCCTCATATTTTTGCTCTAGGCTTTTCTGAAAGCACTAAGCTCCTCTCAGTAAATTGACTCTCATGTGGCTGGTTGTATTTGCTTTAATATGGTTTGTGTCGTGAGAATCGGTCATTTGGGGACTACAAGTTCAGTTTGATCACAAACATTCATAATTGACGAATTCCCCTTTTCCTTCTTACAGGACTGGTCCTTAATGTGTCCAAATGAGTGTCCTGGTCTCGATGAGGTTTGGGGAGAGGAATTTGAGAAGCTGTATGAGAGGTAAGTGAAGTAAATAGACTTTAAAGTAGTGGCCATCTATTCATGGAACTGCTCTTGTGGTATCTGGGAGTCAAAGCAGGAGTGTTGGCTCCCAAATACTCAGCAAGTTCCAGTGAGGTTGCTTCAAATTGTGAGTTGCTTGAAGTGCAAATGATGATTTAACTTGTTAAAGGGAAACTCTGGAATGACTCCTGCCTTTAAAGCACTTGGTTACTTCGGTTTGGACTGGTGTCCCTGCTTGAGCAGGAAGGTTGGACTAGATGATCTCTAGAGGTCGCTTCCAACCTTGAACATTCAGTGATTCTGTGGTTGTGCAGGAGGTTAGGAAGTTTTCCCTGGACTCTCATTTCAAACAAGGCCAGTCTTGGTACTCTGCTGCCCTCCTGGCTTATTCGGAGCGCACACAGATCAGAAGCAAACGGGGCTTGGTGGGAAGCACAATCACGGAATCACCCTATTCCGTATTAGGAATGCCAGTCTTGCACTGTTCCCTTGGGAAGAGGCTGGCATTAACGAGCCAGTTAATGAGCCAGTTTGGGCAGAAGCTCGTTAGGCTGCCATTAACGAGCGCCTCGTTGCAGCTACGAGCGGCAAGGCCGCGTGCGGCGCGTGGTGAAGGCGCAGCAGCTCTGGTACGCCATCATCGAGTCGCAGACGGAGACCGGCACCCCCTACATGCTCTACAAGGACTCGTGCAACCGCAAGAGCAACCAGCAGAACCTGGGCACCATCAAGTGCAGCAACCTGTGCACCGAAATCGTGGAGTACACCAGCAAAGACGAGGTGCGTGGAGGAGGAGGAGGGGACCTTGCAGTATTTAGGAAGGTGACTCTGCCTCTCGCTGCTTTCTAGGATGTGTTGGCCCTTTAGCTGGGGAAGAAAACCCAACTCCCGTGGAAGATTTGATATATATAAATATATCAAATATATTTATATATATATATCAAATATATATATAAGATACTCATTAAAGCAAATCTCCATCGTGGCTTGCTGGTTGCTGATGAAAGCGCCTCTTAAACTAACACCTTGGTAAAACTCACGCCTCTTTTGCTCTCCGACTTGCATCCAAATACCAGTTCTCCCCAAGTTTTACGTTCCTAACATTAGATATCTCCAAAACAGGTCGTGTTTTTACTGCAGTATCATTAACAAAGGCAAAACAAGGGCGTAGACATGAATTAGTGCTAATACTGCAGGGGGAATTTCTCGTACAGTGCTCCTGAGACAGCGGTGACAGTCAGTTCCTACCCTGTCAGCTGCCGGTGGTTCATTTAGCTCATGTTTTTTTGATGTTTTCATAAAATTCAGAGTAGTCTAGAAGTGCCATTGTGCCTGGCTGGACTGCACGAGAAATCTTGGTGGACTTGTTTGGAGTCTGTTGGCTTTGGGAATTAAGATAACATGAAAAAAATAATCAAGGAAGGCCCTAACGTAGCCGAAACTGCCTACGGAAATTGGCTGCTCGTTCTAGCAACGCAAGAAACGCTTAAGCTCAGTTCAAAGAATGACTTATAGGTAGCAGGACTGACCAAGCCATTTCTTCTAATGGTATTTATGCCTGGATAGCTACTAAACTTCACTGAATTATTGGTATTCCTTTCGCAACTCATAAGAGTGTGTAGAAATGAGTGTGTTTTTTTCCAGCCTTGCAGCTTGCTTTGTTTTGCACCCTTTATTTCCATGCAGTTTGGGTAGAGCACTGTGCATGCCGTGCTGACCGATGTCCCTCTTCTCCCCCACTTCCCCACTCCTGCAGGTCGCCGTCTGTAACTTGGCCTCTATAGCCCTCAACATGTACGTCACTTCAGAGCACACGTATGACTTCGAGAAGCTGGCCCAAGTCACGAAAGTTATCGTCCGCAACCTGAACAAAATCATTGACATCAACTACTACCCTGTGCCCGAGGTGAGCGCTGTGCCGAGCTGGGATGGGGCTGGGAAAGTGCCAGAAGGAGCCGCTGGTCTGCAGCAATTTGGGTTGGCTTTAGCCAGAGGAGTCCAAGAAGGATTTTGTCAAATGATTGTGGAAAATAGTTGGGAATTCTCTTAGCTACCTGGCTGCAGATGTCGTCTGTTTTTAGTGACTTCTTCAGCTCCAGCCCAGAGTGAAGCTCTTCCTTTGTGAAGCCGTTTTGGGGTCTTCGCTGGAGATGGTTCTGAGATAGCAGTTCTTTTCATTTGTGTGCATTGCCCTAAAGCACAGAAGAGCCCTAAAAATGCACTAGAAAAGCAGATCCTGGGAGCACCTCAAGAAGATGCAGCTCACTCTTCACATTGATTTTATGCATTTTTGGGAGGCTGCATAGACAGCTTTTTAAGGGGAAGGTCTACAGAGGAGATGACAGTTGAAGAATGGGAGCAGGGTTTGTCTTGCAAGAACGCAGGAAGCCGTAGGAGCAGAACTCAATGCTGAGATTGGCTTTGGAGGAGGAAAGCAAGCAAAAGCCCCAAGCTTGAAGCCAGGCCTGACAAGGATCGGATTTGGGAAGCGCACGCAGTTGCGATGTGTTGAAGGTCTTCAGGGACTTGGTTTTCAGGAAGTGCTCGGGGTTTGTTTCTAAATCAGTCTCCTTTTTGTGTCAAACCGAGCACTTAAAATCAGTGTTCACTCCTACTAGACTTAATCTAGGTCTTCAAAATCCTGACCTACCAAACTGCAAACTCTAGGGACCTGGGCTGAGTTGAGAGCAGAGTTATTGCAATGGAGTGAATGGTCAGTAAAATGCAAACAAGCGTAGAGGTGAAAAGTCCCTTCCAACCTAGTTTATTCTATGATTCTTGACTCTGCTAACGTTATTTATTCTCTCCTTGAACGCCCTGCAGGCTGAACGCTCCAACAGGCGCCACCGGCCCGTTGGCATTGGCGTGCAGGGCCTGGCAGATGCCTTCATCCTGATGAGATACCCCTTCGAAAGCCCTGAGGCCCAGCGCCTGAACCAGCAAATTTTTGAGACCATCTATTACGGTGCTCTGGAAGCCAGCTGTGAACTTGCCAAGGAGCAAGGCCCCTATGAAACCTATGAGGGTTCTCCTGTAAGCAAAGGAGTAAGTACCGGGAATTGCAAATTTGCAACCAAAACTATTAAAGCAGTTAATATTACTGTGCCTGATCCTTGATAGAGGGAGCAAATGAGACTGGAACACCTCAAGCTGGAAATGTCGCAGCGTTGCAAAAGGGGGTGAAGCTTCCTCCATTGTTTATCTTGTGCATTTAAAGAGCCAAATTGTGATGCGAAGGGAAAATAAATCAAAATTCGGCCTGTGGTGGCTGACTCCTTTAGCGTAATTAAAAGCTGGAGGGTTTGTAGGCTTATAATACAGGAGCTTAGTTGAGGCTGAGCTGTAGTGAATAGTTAATAGTGATAATAGGTCAGTTGGTAAAGTGATATATAAAATACGGAGAGAAAAAGTGCTTGATCTAAGCTGGGCAACTCTTGTGTTCTCCAGATCCTTCAGTATGACATGTGGAACGTCACCCCCTCGGACCTCTGGGACTGGAGAGCACTGAAGGAGAAGATTGCCAAGTGAGTAGATGCACACGGTTTGTATTAGATGCAGACGACATTTTCTTGGGATCACATATTTTCTGACTGCCTGAAGGCAAAATGCAGAACAAGCATAACAAGTGGCCCTGTTTATTTTAATTTTTCAGTAGATTTTTCTTCAAATATGTTTGTTCTGTGGGTGACTCTGTTTGGTTTCTGCTCTTACAGACCACAGAGAGCCCGCTTATTTATATGGAGCTGGCTTTCAGATTTGGTCCAGCTTTTCCTGTCTAGCTAGGAATGATCCTGAGCTCTTCCCTGGCTGTTCCTTGCGTTTTTCCTTGAATGCTGTGCAGTTGTGTAGCCCTCCACCACCCCAATTTAACCAGAGGCTTTGCAAAATTGTTTAAGATAAAACTATCCAAGACTGAGTTACGCTTCCATGTTGACCCATATTGCAAGATTAGTTGAGCTTCCTTTTCCTCAGTAGATAACCTGAAATATTTCAGGTCACTCTGAGGAAAAAATGTAGGTGAGATTTATGAGTTTATGAACTGAATCTGGGAAAATATAGTGATGTGCTTTATCTCTGTGAGAAGGAGTTCTTGATACTGGTCCTCCTGGCTCTTTGCAGGTAGTATATAAACTTTTTTTCCGTGTCTTCTCTATCTTGTCTCAATTGACTGAAGTTTTCTCTGGCTATTTTTGCTAGATATGGTGTCAGGAACAGCCTTCTCCTCTCTCCAATGCCAACTGCTTCGACCGCTCAGATCCTGGGCAATAACGAATCCATCGAGCCCTACACCAGTAACATCTACACGCGCAGAGTCCTCTCGGGAGAGTTCCAGGTGAGCCCTTGAGGCAGGCAGAGAAAAGAGCTTTTCTGTATTCATACTTTCCGTGTTTTTTCACTCAGTTCCGTTACGAGTTTATGGTTTATGTCAGAGGCCAAAAGCGCCCATGAAAACATCAAACCAGAATATCTGCACCGTGTGCTGACTCCCCTGGAATATGAAAGAGGAGTTGGTTTTGTTTTTTTTTTTAAAAAGGGCTGCATTTCTCTGGAAATGACCTTTAGGAGACCTCAATATTGCCTGCAGGAGTGCTTGCTAGATTAATGTCAGTTAGTGGAATTACTGAAGGAAGGGCTGTGCGTGCTGATGGAAGAAGAATGGAGGCCACAGTGCCGCTTTGCAAAACCCTCAGAAAAGACCTGTCTCTAAACCAAGTCTATGAAGGCATCGTGTAAAAGGTTTCCAGATGCAGAGGGCATGTCTGACAGCACCTTTTTTTCACTTTTTTGGACCTTTCTTATCCAGGGGAGTTCCATGTACCTCCCTTTCACTATTCATAATATTCAGTAACTTCATAATATTGCTGTTTTTCTTTCACTATTCATAATATTCAATAATTTCTCCCATTGCTTGTTTACCCGTCTAGTGCCAAACTGGGTGGCCAAGGGCTTCCCCCTGCGTTGCCTGCAGTGACCAGCAGTTTCTCATGCTGTTGCCCTCTTATATATAATATAATAATATATATATATTATTATATATTATATATATTATACATACCTAGAGCTTAGCAGATATACAGTGCTCTCCTCGCTGACCTTTGCTCCTTACAGGTTGTAAATCCACACTTGCTGAAAGATCTCACCGAGAGGGGCCTGTGGAACGAGGAGATGAAAAACCAAATCATCGCCCACAATGGCTCTATCCAGGTACGGGAGAGAATCCAGGGAGAGCAGCCCGGCATTCCCGCTGTCCTCAGCAGTGCTGGCTGCATGGGCTGGGGCTTGGCTGTGCGTGGAGCTCCTCTCCGTGCGTCACTCAGCCTGCGGAGCAGAGCATTTCCAAGAGAAGGCTGAGAGGGGATCTGATTACATGTATAAATACATGAAGGGAGATTGCAGGGAGGAAGGGGACAAGCTGTTTTCATTGGTGGCCAGTGATAGGACAAGGGGAAATGGGCATAAGCTGAAACACAAGAGCTTCCATCTCCAGGTGAGGAGGAACTTCTTCGCTGTGAGGGTGCCAGAGCCCTGGAACAGGCTGCCCAGGCAGGTTGTGGAGTCTCCTTCTCTGGAGGTCTTCCAAACCCACCTGGATGCCACCCTGTGCCCCGTGCTCTGGGTGTCCCTGCTGGAGCAGGAAGGTTGGACTAGATGATCTCTAGAGATCCCTTCCAACCTTGAAGATTCTGTGATTCTGTGAAATACAGCATGTGCCAGAGCTCAGGGGTAACTTGTTCCTTGTGGAACCTGCCCATATAATAGGCAATTCCGACAGAAACATACTTTATGTTACTGATGTGTTTGAGTGCCACTTCTCCTGTCAAATTCCCTGGAATAAACCTGGAATAAACCATCCCATTTCAGTCGGGTTTCCTTGTGCTTAGATGCTTTCAGACACGAGCTGCTTGGGTTCTCTGCCAGAGTTCAGCTGCACTAAGCTTTAGTTCTAGTTATCAGTGGCTGAAACTTCAATCCTGGGGTCCGGTTTTGTAAATGAGCACTTGGGTACCCTGCAACTGGTCACCCTGCATTGGGAAATCCTCCCTATTCCTTTCAGAATATCCCCGAGATTCCCGATGACTTGAAGCAACTCTATAAGACGGTGTGGGAGATCTCCCAGAAAACTATCCTCAAGATGGCAGCGGACCGAGGAGCTTTCATCGATCAGAGCCAGTCCCTCAACATCCACATCGCGGAACCCAACTACGGCAAACTCACCAGCATGCACTTCTATGGGTGGAAGCAGGTACCTGGGAGGGGTTGGGGAGAAGCCTGGTCAAAACGGATACCAAGTAGGGGTTGATAAGGTTTGTTTTGTTTGTTTTTTCTCATGAGAAGTTGGTCTCACTGATTCTTGGAAGGGTAAACGTCTGTTTTCTTCCGAGAATCAATGTTGCTTATAAAATATCTTTCCTTGAAGAGCAAAGCTGAGGATGCTTCTAGCGTTGCTGTCATTAATCCTGTGATTAACTGTGGGGAAGAACTGGTTTGGTGGGAGGGTGCCCGAGCCCTGGTTGAGGCTGCCCAGGGAGGCTGGGGAGGCTCCTCTGGAGGTCTTCCCAACCCACCTGGATGCCACCCTGTGCTCTGGGTGTCCCTGCTGGAGCAGGAAGGATGGACGGGATGATCCCTAGGGATCCCTGCCAACCTCAACCATCCTGGGATCCTGTGAATCCTGACTGTGGGGCTCCACTGTGGGGTGGGTACAGGTTTGGGCTTTGGAAGATCAGGCTCTGCAGTGCAGACCTTGGCTGTGTTTGTGTGCCTGGACTCCAGCTGATAACTGCCCTGTGGCTCGTGCTTTTGCTCTGCAGGGTCTGAAGACCGGCATGTACTATCTCAGGACCAAACCAGCTGCTAACCCCATCCAGTTCACCCTCAACAAGGAGAAGCTCAGGGAGCGAGAGAAGGCTTCCAAAGAGGAGGAGGAGAAGGAGAGGAATAAAGCAGCCATGGTGTGCTCCCTGGAGAACCGAGACGAGTGTCTCATGTGTGGCTCCTAACGGATCATCCCTGCAGAGCCAGCAGAGTCGCTCCGCCTGACTTGATGCTTTCTACGATAGATAGGTCTAGTTTAACTTCAGGATGGAGGGGCTTGCTGGACCTGGGGCAGGAGCACTGCTCACAGGAGTGTTTTGTAGCTTCCCCATCCGTGAATTGGGGTGGTACACAGGGATGGATAGGGGGCATAAGAAGTTTGTCTCTTGCTTTTGTAGCTGGGCTTCCTGGAAACGTTAGGCGCTCTTGCGTGGTCTGGTGTTACAGGTAGGACCTTTCCTGAACAGGCAGGGAAGCGTCAGTGCCACTTACCTTAAAGATCTGCCTGGGGCCTTCAAGAAGTCCTTCTCATTCCCTGAAGACTCGTAGCCTTGTCTTTAGAGAGAGAAGTGGACCTCACTCATCTCCTTTCCTTTGCTCTGAGAAGACTGCAGCAAGATGTTCTTGTGCCAGGCATGGTGCCTGCTTGATGCACTGCCTGCCGTGGCAAAGGAGCAATTGCTGCCAGCCTTAAAAAGATGGGGGGTGTGCAGTTATCCCAGCGAGGCCCTTCTGCCGTTTCCCTGCCATTTCTTCCATTCCGTGTCCCCTCCTTCCCCTTCCAAAAAGGTTTCTGAGATGCTTCGTTTATCGCCACCAGGAGACTGCATCTCTGTTCAGCCTGCTGGGGCAGAGCGTCACGCTTGGCAAATCCCCCCCTTTCACCTCTGACCAGGAAGCGGCAGATTGTTTGATTCCGTGTTAAGAAACAGTCTCATTTATGGGTCAGGTTGATAACGGGCTTCCTTGTGCCCCTTGGCCAGGAAGCCCTCTGAGGTGTCCACGCTGCCACCTTGCAAGAGCTGCATTTAACCCCCCCCAGCTAGTTATATTTTAAAAATACGTTTTTACTTCTCCACTCAACCCCCGCGCGCTGATGCGGCGGGCCTTCATCACCCGGTTCTTCAATATTTATTGACTTCACGTAGCGAGCAGCTAATCCTTTAACCCGGCCCAACTCAATAAACTGCGGAGTGTCAAAGGAGGGAGCGGTGTCTTGGGAGCGCTTTATTGATCAAGGGGAGGGCAGCGGCTGGAGATGGGGCCTCCTTGGTGAGGCCAGCAGCTCCTGCGTGGGGTTCCTTGCAGGAGCTGCCTCCAGGGGCAAAATCCATGGGGAAAAGATGCACCTAAGCAGAACCCGCTGTATGTTGCCATGCTTAACTTGGCAGGGTGTCTGGTTTTGTGTCATTGGGAACATTGAGGCTCAACGTGGGTATGGAGAAGGGGTTGAGGACGCACCACGTCCTGAAGAAGGGGTTGAGGACGCAAAGGAAGCAGGTGGGAATCACAGAGCACATCTGTGACTTTGCCTGAGCTAAGGCTTGGACCGCTATGTTTTGGTTTTAGTCCAGGACTCACCTTCTCACACTTCAAACTCTTCAAGGCGCTGAAAATAACTTGGGAAGTGTCTCCTTTTGCTTCCAGGCTGTTGGGTTTAGTCCCCGCTCTTGGCAGCGGTGCCTCCCAAGAAACATCACTGAGCAGGAGCTGAGGGCACGTGGCCCACATTCTTTTGGGAAAGCTCCCAAATCACAAACCCTGGAGCAGAAGGGATGGAGAAACCAACTCCCTCTTGCAGAACATGCAAACCTCAACTGGTGGGAGCAGTCGCGTGTAAGAGGTACAGGGAGAGCTTTGGGCTGGACTCCAGTGAGGAGCTGCACTTGCAGCCAGGCAGGGGACGAGCCCTCCTGCTTGGGTCTGGTCTCCTGCGGTGGGATTGTGTTGGAGGTGCTGGCATTGCTAAACTGGTTTCAGAAAGAGGACGGTTTCCTCTGTGGTGTTTTGGTTAAGTCCCTGCTTAACTTTCCCATCTGCAGCATCTCCACGCTTGGCAGCAAGGTGCTGCTGTTCCCTAGGAAATGGCTCGGAGCTGCAGGAGAATTGAGCTTTCAGTCCCTCAGAAATGATTTGGATGCTTTGGTGGCTCCTTGACTGTCCCTGCAGCAGTGGGAGAGGGAAGGGGGGACTCTTGGGGCTCTGTGACAGTGACATCTGAGCCTGGGTTAAGCTGATGTTGAGACCTGGTGACTACCTATGGTCATGAGAGAGCATCTGTGCCAGAGCAGTGAGCATTGGGTCCCATCTATGGGTCACATCTATGGGACACATCAGTGCCAGGCTGATGTCCTCGCCGCCCGCTTGTCCCTCATGAGTATTTTTGTGCCGTAGCTTTTAAGTTATTGGACAAACCATCTCGGAGACGGAAAACTCTGCCTGTGGAGCAGAGTTTCAACGGGTACGTGGAGCAGTAACGGTGCCTAACGCCTGGAGAGCCGCTCCGGGACTCCTCCGTGGTGGCCAGCACGGAGATGTCCTGCTGAAGGCGCCGTGTTGCAGAGCCTGGCAAGGCTGTCCGGGGACACCAGGTCCCATACCCTGTCATGCCAGGCAAACATGACATGTTATGTGCTTCTAAAGCCAGGCTCGTGCTGCTTTGAAGGCTCTTGGATTACTTCGGAGCTTCCACCTTTCACAGGTAGAGCGATGGAGATTGATGGTGTCTGGTAGATGCCAAGACACTTGGTGTGTCTTGGACACTTGTGGACACTTGGACATTTAGTAGACAGTGTCTAGTAGACACCAAGACCCTCTAGTAGACACCAAGACCCTCCAGAGAGGGTCTACTAGAGACCAAGAACCTCTAGTAGACACCAAGCCCCTCCTGAAAGGAACCCATTCTGTGCCTACCTTATTTATCCTCCTTTTTGGTCACTGCTCCTGTGTGTGCTTTCATCCCCATGCTCTAGGGCCTGATTTCGCTCTGCTCAATGGGACTTTGTGGTGTCGCCAGCTCCTGAGATCACCGCGGGCACAGCTGGACGTGCGGGAGGTCCCCGTGCGCTCTGCTTGGTGGCAGCACCTTCTGCCTGTGTCCCACCACCAGCATGAGTGGACCTTGCTGGGCTTGGAGCTTCCCTGCAAGGAAGGGAGCTTCTCTGCAGGATCCTCCTGCAGCTTCCCACTGTGTTTCTCAGGATGCTTTGGGATCCTGGATGGTTTGGGAAAGGCGCCTGCAGCCCTTCCCGCTCGCTCCCAGCTCCAGGGTTCTTCCCATGGCTCGGGGAGTTTCGGGGCTCAGCCCACGATGACTCCCAGCTCCATCAGCCCTCGTGTCTTCTCCACCTTCCTCCTCCGTGTCCCTTTGAGCTGATGCTCCATCATTTACAGCAATGAAGTGTAACGAGAGTCTCAGCCGAGAGTCTCAGTCGGTGTCCCTGGTGCCGCTTGACCGTGCAGCTCTTCAGACCTCAAACCTCCTCGTTTCACCCCAGATTGGGGTGCCTGGCTGGAGCAGGGACGACTGCTGGCCAAGGGGAGCAGAAAATGGGGGCAGAGATGGGCAGAGACTCGGTGCAAGCTGGTGCTGTTTCACCCGCTGTTGTCGTTTTACCTGTTTGGCTTTGTTTTGTTTTGTAGGTTGTCCAGTTTGGGCGGTTGTCCTGCAGCCACGTGGACGGTTCCTGCTCTGGCTGCAGGCTGGCATTTGTAGCATTGATATTTTTTATTTTATTTTATTTTATTTTATTTTATTTTATTTTATTTTATTTTATTTTATTTTATTTTATTTTATTTTATTTTATTTTTACTTTTTATTTTATATTTTTATTTTATTTTATTTTTACTTTTTATTTTATATTTTTATTTTATTTTATTTTTACTTTTTATTTAATATTTTTATTTTATTTTATTTTTACTTTTTATTTAATATTTTTATTTTATTTTATTTTTACTTTTTATTTAATATTTTTATTTCATTTTATTTTTACTTTTTATTTAATATTTTTATTTCATTTTATTTCATTTTATTTCATTTTTTAGTTTTTAGTTTAGTTTATTATATTTTATATTTTATGTTTTATATTTTAGTTTATTTTTTATTTTATTTTAGTTTATATTTTATTTTAGTGTATATTTTATTTTAGTGTATATTTTATTTTAGTGTATATTTTGTTACTTCTGTTATTTTGTTATTTTTTGTTATTTTATTTTGTTTGCTTTTATTTAATTTAATTCTTATATTATTTTGTTAAGACTAAAAATACCAAAGCATTGGTTGCAAAAGGGGAAAAAACCCTCCGTGTATGGAGAATTCAAGGACTTTTCTGGTGACACGCAGGACGCTCAGCACGTCAGGGATGGGTCCTGCTGCCGCGCACAGCCAGAGGCATTCCCTCTGCTGAGGGCCATGGAGGAAGGCCGAGGACCTTCAAGGCTGAGGGCCATGGAGGAAGATGATGCGAACGAGTGACAAATCTGTCCCAAAGTGTTGTCCCGACCAAGAAACCATAACTTTGTGCCATGCGATGTGGTAACCAGGAGAGGAACCTCAGCAAGTCTGCAAGAACCGCACTCAATACTTGTGTATTGACCTGTTGACTGAGTGAGTTGGGCCCGTTCAGCTTGGAGAAGAGAAGGCTGAGAGGGGATCTGATTAACTTGTATAAGTTCCTGAAGGGGAACGTAGGAAGGAAGGGGCCAAGCTCTTCTCGGTGGTGGCCAGTGACAGGCCAAGGGGACATGGGTATAAGCTGAAACACAGGAAGTTCCATCTCCAGGTGAGGAGGAACTTCTTCACTGTGGGGGTGCCAGAGCCCTGGCTCAGGATGCCCAGGGAGGTTGTGGAGTCTCCTTCTCTGGAGGTCTCCAAAACCCGCCTGGATGCCACCCTGTGCCACATGCTCTGGGTGTGCCTGCTGGAGTAGAGGGGTTGGACTAGGTGATCTCTAGAGGTCCCTTCCAACCTTGGATATTCTGTGATTCTGTGAGTGCTTCAGAGAGGGTGGCAATGACGGTTGGGGCACGTACGGTCGTTCTAATGGTTTGCTTTTCCTTGCAATTAACTCTTGGCGTGTGTCATCGAGGTCTTCCTGAGAAGAGCTACTCGGAGCTCCATTGCCATGGTGATGAGCAGGATGAGCACAGATTCACAGAATTCACAGAATATTTAAGGTTGGAAGGGACCTCTAGAGATCATCTAGTCCAACCTTCCTGCTCAAGCAGGCACACCCAGAGCAGCGTCTGCATGGGAGACGTTACCTCTGCTTGCTCATAGCCGCCCACGTGAAGGGGGTAAAACCAGCGCTTTCCTTCAGCAGTTTCAGCCAGTGCTCCCTGATCTCTTTGGTCCTCATATCACAGATGATGGGATCAATAACACATGGCACCTTGGATGCCAGGATCAGGTCTTCAAAACCCGCCTGGATGCCACCCTGTGTCCCATGCTCTAGGTGTGCCTGCTGGAGCAGGAAGGTTGGACTAGATGATCTCTAGAGGTCCCTTCCAACCTTGAATATTCAGTGATTCTGTGATCTCTAGAGGTCCCTTCCAACCTCAACCATCCTGTGATTCTGATCACCACTGGGCTCACAAGAGATGCTCCTTACCACTCTAGCCAGGGATAACTTGGCCAGGTCTTTCCTGGTCGTTATGTTGCACAGAGGGTTGCAGATGGCCACGTACGTGCCCGAAGCCACGAGGAGGAGGAGACTGCAGTCTGACGATGAAGAAGACCTGCAAGAACATGATGAACATCATCTGCAAGAACGTCTGTGTCAGGCAGCCCCCTGGGAGATGTGGCTGAGATGAAAGAGGAACCGCAGCGTCCTGAGCACAAACGTGCTGGAGCTGTGGGGTTTGTCCACCAACAGCAGAGCCATCATCAGGAGCAAGGGGGAATGGAGAACTTCCTCCACCCTCGCGGTGTATGTGAGGATGGAGGTTGCTGTGATCACCAGTAAGAACAGGTAGAAGAAAAGGGATGAAGAGGAAGAGTCTGTGGTCTTGGATGGAAGAACAAAGTCATAAATTTCAAGTCACAAACAAAGCCTAAGGGCAAGCCTGGACTAAACCAGGTGGAGCACAGGGAGGTGCATTTTTCTTGTCCATAAGTCCGTGCACACACATGCAAGCTCC